TGCTATATTTTATTTAGTATGTATTACTGTAAAGCTTTTGACCACCACATCATCCACTAACTAACTCTGACGTCTTATAAAAGATGAGCTGCACCAACGTCTTAACATGTGTAATTTTGTCCATTTTCATTATCCGCAGACGAGATTTCCCAGATTTTTTGGTGTAAAACAATAATCTGCATAGTCAGATTTGTTTTAAGGTGTCACATGCATCTATGTTGTGTCCTACAGTCATAGATGCACCTGTGGAATAATTATCCTCAAGGTTTATTAATCACACATTACAACAGATGGACTTTCGCTTTTTTTCCATTGTACACGGAGAAACATTATGTAAATCTTAAATCTGCTTTTCATCTCCATCTTCTTTGTTAACTTCTTACTAATTTTGTAGCTCCAGCCATTGGTCGGCAAACTGATATAGTAATGTCAGACGTAGCAAAATCTAAAGTAAGCGTAAAGTTTATGATCACATCAGACCATCAAAGCTTTTTTTCTTATTGACATGATAATTGGCCACACAGGTTCAATCCCAGGACTCACAAACAGCCTGAATTTAAAATCCTGCCGTGCTTTTTGAACGGCAAACTACCTCCTATTTCTCAGTGAACACTTAGTTAATACTTTTATTACATTCTCAGTTCACCAAATCCCTGCATAAGGCTTGTTGACAAGGAGAGGACACAGTATGTGAGCAGAAAAAAGCCATAATTTCTTGAATTTCAATCACAACCGAATTCTTAACTATAAAATCATTATGCAATACTTAAGATTGAAATTTTGATCCCACTGATTGGAAATGAGATATTTTCCAAAGTATCTGCATTTATATGGTTTTGATTACCATCATATCTCTTATAGGTTATTTGTTTTTATTATTTCTAGTGTTCACAAATCAGATATATTCAAATACATTTATTTGAGATACTTCAATTCTGTTTGTGTAAGTTGAGTCGAATCAAGCTGCTGAAATTGGATTGGAGAAATTCAAAGGGCAGAATTTTCAATGAAAATGTTAAACCAAGAGTTACCAATGGCAACCAGTCAATCATCAGTCATATGACATTTATTCAGTTGAGTATCAAATTTAGATTATTTCGGCCTAACTTTGCAGCCATATACACACACACAGACACAAATTACTACTGTAGTAATAAGTGTATGTGTATGGTGGTCTTCTCAGTGTCGACAATTATACAAAACTTTTTTTAACACATTTTATTTTTATTCAGAGTGCAACAGTTCACTAAGCTTGCTAGGCCCATGAAGCAGAGAGTGTGTGTATGTGTGTGGCTGTTTTGTTTGATACAAGTATAATTTGGACGCATATGCTTGTGTGTGTGTGTGTACACATGCTTTATAAGAGAGTTTTAATAGACCATGTGAGTTGTTACACATCAGATCTTTGTTTACTAAAGCTATCCAAATAACATATTGTATGCTCGTCATATCTTCTTAACAACGTGCACTATGTTTGCATGGGCAGTTTTACAAAGGATGCACCAGTTCCTTTTGTTAAAAACTGAGTGTTTTGAAATGTAAAACTATGTATGAAAATGACCTGTACAAAATTGCCTTAAAACTTTCACAAATTTTTCTCGGAATTGTGCGATGCCTTCTTCAGAAATTGTTTCAAGGAGTTGATCGTTTATCTATTTTGTGTCAGTGTTTCTATTGCTTTTTAGTGTATTTACTTTGCACAAGTATGAGAAACAAACAATTTGTCTTGTACTTTTTGAAATGGTGATTAATCAGAGAAAGCATGGCTGAAGTACTGATTGTCTGATAATATATATATAATAGATGACTATTTCTGTATCAAACTATGGATTTTTAAAATATTATTCATATTAAACACAACAATTGCTGGACATTTTGCACCACTGTTTTTTTTCTTTAATTTTATCTTCCTTTATTTTACTGTTTGTCTTTTCTCTCCTCTGCTCTCTCCATTCTCTCTCTTATTTGGACTGATGGATCTTAATTTCTCCCTCAGACAAGATAAATGTACAAAATACATGAACACAAAATATTTGGTTATGTCAAAGGTCACTGGCAAGTCTTTCTCTTTATCTGAATCCACCATCTCCCTCCTGAGGTGGCAACTGTTTCCTGAAATATAAAAGAGGAAAATATTTGTTTCTCAGTTTTCATGTCAGAAATTAATTGTCGCCTGTTTAAAGAGGCAATTAGTAACTGTCAGAGCCCCATCTCTCAGAAACACTGCAGCTTTGTAGAATCTGCTGTTTCCTTCATCAGTTGTTTGGCAGCTGCTGAGATCTCTTGATTTTCAAAAGTCACAATATAACTTGTTTTTGTCAGAGATTTGGTCTCAGTGTGTCACTCACCAGTGATAGAGCTGATCGTCTTCCTGTTGCTTCAAGAGATCATAGGCTACTTATTAAGAGATTGTTAGACCTCGAAACATTTCAGTTTTAAACGCAGACGTGAGTCTCGCATCAAGCTTTCTGTCTTACTCTTGGTAAGAGAACCTTTAAGAGAACATACTCTTGACCACAACTATCACCATGTCGCCAATTACTTCACCAACCTTTTAACTTGCAGATAAACTTCCCTGTGGAAACTTCTTCCATATCCCCATTTAATGAAGACGTTCACGTAAACTCAGTGAAACACCATCATGTGTGTGCATGTGAGCTGCTGTTTACATGGCAACTTCATTCCGATCTTCCTGCCTCATGTATGATTAGGCCTTTAATTAGTATTCCCCCCCCTCACTTTCTGCATGTGTTTCTGGCTCAATAACAGATACCGAAGAGCTGTCGCCATCACTTTGTTACACAGCACTTTCTACAAATGCGTGTTATCTGAGGAACAACATGGAGGATGTCAACAAAGAAATGAAACAATGCAGTCTTGGTTTGAATTACTTACCATCATCACTGTACACTGCCACTAATACTGCTATGCCTCTGGCCTTTTCGAAAGGTATTCTGAGAAATGCACAATGAATCCTACAATCTGTCAACATTAGAAATGGATATTTATTGCAAGGGTTTTAATCCAATTACTTATTCCCATTGATTAAGCATAACAACATACTGGACCCAAAAATACACAAAAACTGACAAATCCGATTGTGTGTGTGTTTTTTTTACTATAAAAACCACTTGTAAAACTGATATGAATGAATGATCCTATTTGAAACATAAAGCAAGAGTGGTTGTCATAGATTTAATTTTTCTCTATAGCTTTGTGACTCTTAAGGTTTCACAGTTTACCTACACAAAAAGAAAAAATGGATGCATCACTGTCTAGTCTGAGTTTCCAAGTAATGCAAATTAAAAGATATATAAAAGATCAAACTGAGACTAAATCAAACACTTTGCATTTTCATGGTGTGAGGCTCATTTTTTTGTCCACTTGTTGGAAAAGCAACTATCACAGTCGCTGTCCACTTCTCCACGCTCGCTTTTTTCCCCCAGATTGTTAGCATGGACATGAACACATCA